CACCTATCTCCTCACCAAAACAATCCTCGTGTATGGGCCTCATAGCCCTCACAACATACAGTACCAACAACTAATCAGTAACACATTCCATGACTACTAACAAACATTTCCACAAATAAGGATATGCAGTTTGAATAACCATTTTATATGTTTCAAATATATTTCATTTTCCACAACACATTCAATGTTATGATCTTTTAGTTTCTCATATAAGTTTAAAACAAATGATTACATATTATACAGTACAGCATAGGATTTGATATATGTAAAAAATGTGTAGCTTTAATCACATGAGAACAATAACCCTCATAAAATATTCAGTACTCACCACGAACCACAAATATAATTGGTCTCATTACGGCTGGAGGATCTTTCAGCCAACAACAACCTCACAGTAATGATATTCTTCGTATATGTTCCAGAATAACTTTTCACCTCAATGAGCAAGAATGTAATGTACTCAAAAGAAAAAACACCGTCACACATAAATTCACTTTCCATACCACAATGTCACTGTAGCTTATTTGAGATGACAGTGAATATACTGTACTGGGTACTTCAAAATGTATCTCAACAACATGACAAAATCCTGAACAATATCTGTATACCACATACTAAGTCACTGGCAATAACCAGAATTAAAAAAGATATCACTTTCCTTGTGTACAGTACTGTACTTGTTTGCTCATGAAGCCAACTTCATCAGAAAACACATTATAAGTCTACTTTATCAGCACCATATTCCATCACAAACATAATTTTTAGTGACAAGCCTATCAAATTTTGTACAATAAATTGTTTCCAAACACAAAACTTTTTATAAATATTTCCAAACACTGAATATTAGTACAGGTGGATGCCATTAAACTAATATTTTTTTCACAGTGAAGAGACTTACTCGTCTTTCCACTGAATGTCACTCACCACGTCATGCAACACTAAATTAATGGAAACAGAAACAACAGGTGACCAAAGAGGGTGTCATCAATGGTGGAAATGTAACATAAAATATGATGAATCTTCCTGACAAATATTATCAATGAAAAAGAGTCATAACATACATATACAGTATTGTATCCTGATCACTTCTGATACTGCAACTTTTTATTATTTATTACTAAGGTTCTTAATGGTCCTTTTGTCATGGCATGTACTGTATACAGTAGTTCCTCATGCACCAAAAAACTGTGGTAAACTGAAATGACTCAAGAGGATGTATGTGGTTATAATCCTTTACACTTAATCACAAACTATGATGCATAAGAGAAATTTGAAGTAAAAAATAAATAAATAAAATTACACTGAGTATCAGGAATTTTAAAATTATTTATTGGAAGAACAAAGCACCACTTCAACCTTTCTAACGAGACAACTTGGGGCTCCAACCTTGTCGAATTACCCAAAGGTCCGAATTTAATCTTTCAGTTTGGACATTTTGTAGATACAGTACACTGTATTGTTTGTTTTTTTCATAAACTCAAGTGAATCACTCAAACAGTACCGAAAAGCACACCCAATTGTGGCAAGCCTCTCCAGTAATTTCTGCTTGTCTGCAATGGACAGGCCTGTACTGTATATTTCCAGCACAGCTTCAACCATATTAGACACAAACAAAAATCACATAAAACAACAACAACAATCTAAATGCTTTGGGTGAGTGAACTGGCCCTCACGCACAGTAAAATGATCATCTACTGTACTGTATATACAAATGTTGCTTGGAGTTAGCCCAATTGTTAAGTAACATGATACAGGCATGTGGTATGAATGCTGGAAAAGGAGGTACAGCGAGATGATGCAAGTTTGCCTCTGTCATTAAGCTAATGTGCGTTATTTTACATTATGACAATTTTGACTTTTGTGATAATTCTGCTTGTTTTCAGTATTTTATATCCTTCCCTGCGATAGCATGGCTTGTATAGTTCAGTAACTCCTCCCCTTTTGTGATGTAAGAATCTCACCCCCCAGACTTGACTCACTTTACTAAGTGTTTCTACCCAAAAAAAAACAAGCACAATTGTAGTATCATGATCAATTACTGGAACAATATTATTTAATTTTAATAGTGTAAAGAGTAAAATAAGTGTCCTGTACCTCATACTGCTTACAAATTAGTGTCGATTATCTTGTTCTATTGCATCACACAACACTCCACAAACATTCTCAATTCTCCCTAGCCCCTGTGTTGCCAACCTGTGGTAAGGATGTGTATTTACTTCCTGTTTCTATCATGCATGATAATTTTGTAAGACAAGATTTGATTTATAATATATTTTACGGCATATAAGATGCACTTTTTTTGTCTGAAAATGGCTAAAAAAAAATCAACCTGATTCCTAAATGTGAAGTTGAGGTCTCCCATAATCTAATGAATCCCCCAGTTGCTGTCTCCAGTAGGCTAAATTCTACCTAAACCAACTCCAGAATTAAAAATGTTGTTGCTTATTTAAACACATTACAGTATTACCCCGCCTAACGCGGTTTCACTTAACGCGTTTTATCATATACGCGGTGCCTCGCCAGAGCTGAACTTTCACTTAACACGGATTTTTTCCACATATACGCGGTGAGTGTCCGGCTCGAGATGCTATTTTTAGATTTGCCCCACCCTGCCTGACTGCCTGTTTTAGCTCATAAAATTCATACAAATTACCCGGCCAGAATATAATTTACATTGCTGGAATTCTTATAATTTGGTGATCATTTTGAGTATAAACATCATATTTTTGCATTAGACATACAAATTTTAGATAAAAAATTTTCTCAAATTAACTATGTTATCTTTTGTGCAAAATATATGACATTTATATTCAAAATATTCCTGGTCTTACAAGGAATCCAGCAATGTCAATTATATTATCCGAACTTTAGTTTGAGGTATTATTTATTAAAATTTAGTGGTTATCCCACACATCTCCTTGGGACGGTTGGTGGGGGGTGGGGGGGGAGGGAGGGACCGACTGACCATCTGTTACCCTGTGAAGAATTATTTTTTTTTTTATTAACTGAAGATATTTGTTTTAGCTCATAAAATTCATACAAATTACCTGGTCTGAATATAATTTACATTGCTGGAATTCTTATAATTTGATGATAATTTTGAATATAAACATCATATTTTTGCATTAGACATACAAATTTTAGATAAAAATTTTTCTCAAATTAACTATGTTATCTTTTGTGCAAAATATATGACATTTATATTCAAAATATTCCTGGTCTTACAAGGAATCCAGCAATGTCAATTATATTATCCTAACTTTAGTTTGAGGTATTATTTATTAAAATTTAGTGGTTATCCCACACATCTCCTTGGGACGGTTGGTGGGGGGGAGGGAGGGACCGACCGACCATCTGTTACCCGTGAAGAATTATTTTTTTTTTATTAACTGAAGATATTTGTTTTAGCTCATAAAATTCATACAAATTACCCGGTCTGAATATAATTTACATTGCTGGAATTCTTATAATTTGATGATCATTTTGAATATAAACATCATATTTTTGCATTAGACATACAAATTTTAGATAAAAATTTTTCTCAAATTAACTATGTTATCTTTTGTGCAAAATATATGACATTTATATTCAAAATATTCCTGGTCTTACAAGGAATCCAGCAATGTCAATTATATTATCCTAACTTTAATCTGAGGTATTATTTAATACTAAATGTTAAAAACCCTGGAAGGGAGGATTGGTGGGGGGTGGGGGGGAGGGTTGGGATTGACCGGGCGGTTGGAAGAGGGGGGGAGGCAAGGTTGAGTCCATTATTTGAATGGACATTAACTTGGCGACTGTATTTCTCTATTTCTCTTAAGTTTTAATTGTGTGCATGTACCATCATAAAATTAAGATGTTATTTTTACTACAACATAGGTATGTGCCTTCAAAAAGTGGAGTTTGGGGGTCGGGCCGGTTTCTATTGGAATTAATCCCATATGTTCTGTTGTTCACTTAACGCGGATTTCACTTAACACGGGACCCTCTGGGTTCAATTGACCGCGTTAAGTGGGGTACAACTGTATTATTTTTAATTAATTAAAAAAATAATTATTGTAAATATAAAAGCTCAATTTATAACTAGTACTGTACCTGAGACAATAAACATCTGTGAGGCAGACACCCAACTCTTTCAATATGCTTAGTTTGGCTTCATTCATGCAACACATAAGCTTCCTTCTTTTAATGATATACAGTATTGGTATTTTTTTTTTCGTAATCTCTTCAAAATTAAAATCTCATCCAAATACAATATACCTTATCATCTCTAACAACTGTCTCACTGTACATCTTTCCTCATACAGTATATACTATACAGTCAGTCCTCGACTTACAACGGGGTTAGGGACCGAACACCAGGTCGTAAGTCGAATTGGTCGTAACTTGAAAAGGCAAAAATAATACATAGAAAATCTAAAATGTGTGTCTCTTTTTCTTCTCAGCACAACGAGAACTCTCACTTTTACGCTTGCCAGCAATTTTAAAGGGCATCACAAACGAAAATTTTGTCAGTACACAGCACGATCACTAACATCGGAACTCGAAAATACGTAATTTAAAAAATATTTTATACGACTGCAGCCGTCGTATGTCCGGGTGGTCATAAGTCGAGTAGGTCGTAAGTCGAGGAATATATATATATATATATATATATATATATATATATATATATATATATATATATATATATATATATATATATATATATATATATATATATATATATATATATATATATATATATATATATATATATATATATATATATATATATATATATATATATATATATATATATATATATATATATATATATATATATATATATATATATATATATGTATATATATATATATATGCAGACAAAAAATCAACACTCCAGCTTCTCCAAAAAAAATAATTATTAAGAAAATAAACAAATAAAAGGAAAATGTTCATGAAGAATTGTTTACACATGATGACAACCTCTTTGGTAAAAAGTAAAGTCTAACACTCACCAGGTGGTGTGTTTGTTGTGGCTGTGTTCCAGGAAGACCTTGTAATGACAACTCCTGGTTCAGATCACCACAGTAACCTTGACTTGAGGCATCACCACCATCACCCAGACTAGACCACTGAGGAGACATATATAAATGCTTAATAAGGCAATAAATTAAGACAGCTACACAATCAAATAATGTTGAAAAAGTGGAAAAAGTGCTTCAATACTCATATTGCATAGAAAAACACCTTGACATGCCTATCCAGTCACTCAACATAAAATGCTTCACTTAAATTAAACACTCTTTCTACTTAAATTAAGCACTCTTTCTAAAGACACTAAATTACATATAAAAATGCATATCCTGTAGTTAGACTACCAATAAATGATATTATGTACAGGTGTCCTTCTCTTAATGTTGCTTCACTAACCACAATTTTGTTATAACAATAGATTAGGGAACATAATTATAAAATGTAGCCCAAGATTTACAATTTTGGAAATTAGAGTTTAAAAAAAAATATTATAAAACAACAACAAAAACTTCACCCACATCCTCACAGATGTGCAAATGTGGATTAATTCTCCTCGGCTAACCAGCAGCCAGGTATAGTTATTCAATCACCCCCTCCCAATAATCCCCAAGCTTTGATTCACATCATATGACATACAGTAGGTCAAAGTCGTCCCGACCGCCCCGCGGCCCTTACCTCACCCAACACCAGAATTAGTGACTGTGTTAAGCTGACCTCACCGTACTACCCAGATTCAGGAGACCACCTGAAGGATTAGTGACCAGCACAGTTAGGCAATGCATTTACTGACATGAGGTCAAAGGTAAGGTTAAGCCAGACTGAGAACAATGTCATTCTTTACTGTGCTCTCTGTCGAAGAGGAGTGAAGACATTGACAGCTGTCAGTGTTGTCCAAATTCTGAATCTCCAGTTGTCCGTGATTTGTGTTTTGTGAAATTGTTGATATACAGTCGGCCCTTAACATACGCGGGGGTTAGGTAACAGAGATACTCGTGAATGTTAAAAATCCGTGTACTATTGCTGCCCCCCCCCCCTAAAAAAAACCTGGCCCCCCATGTCCTTATTTACCGTATATACCTGTACAGTATGTAGTTTGACTTTTTAAGACCAAATTATTTGGCAAAAAATTGGGGGTCGACCTCTAAATGGGTAATAGTTTCGTTAGGTTGAAAAATATTTACCAGTAACTACCAGTAAACAATGGAAACGACGCACCACCAGCTGTGAGTGTCGGTACAGTTGCCAGGGCAGATCTCTTGCGTCATCATAGCAAGCCCAAAGTAGCCAAATGCATGGTATGGTAGCACAGGACGATGTAAAACAAAGTATTCATTTTTTTAAGTTTATTTATAGATACTGTACATAAATTTTTGTTCATTACATTTGAAACATCAATCTTTGTTAATTAAATTTGAAACAAAAGAAAACTACGATACCGTATTTTCATTAAAATATTACATCACAAGTATATTTTACCTTAACTGTGACTGAATGAATATATTCTCAGAAATAAATATGGAAATGTAATATTTTGGCTGAAATGACGTACATATTACAGTGGAAAGTGGGATAAAATCATGACGAAAACAATGACTTTCGCTTTCTTTCGTTGTTCAAAAGATTTTACCATAATCACTTTTCGAATGGTTTTCAGTTAAAAAACTGTTGTACTGTACTGTATTACAATAATATTCTATCCTATCATTAGCCTCATAATCCCACAACTGAAAACCATTCGAAAAGCGATTACGGTAACATCTTTTGAACGAAAGAAAGCAAAAGTCATTGCTTTCGTCACTTTCCACTGTAATACGTACGTCATTTCAGCAAAAATATTACATTTCCATATTCTCAGAAATAAATACAGGTGCTCCCCAACTTACGTCGGGGTTAGGGACCCAAATCCAGGTCGTAAGTCCGACAGATATAAAAAAAAAAAAAAAAAAAAAATCTACAATGAAATACAGTACACTAAACGTAATAAATAATGAGGAATGGATACAGTACAGTAAAAGTAATAAATAATGAGGAATGGATACAGTGTGACTGTGCACTTGCCTTAAATGTAGTCAGCTGAATGCACACAGGGCCCCCATAATTTTCTATTTACAGGATACATGGAGACTATATTAATTGGAAGAAGCAGAAGAGGAGACAGGGCTGGGTGTGTCATCAATGTCGCTTTCTTCAGACAGGTTTATGTGCTGTGGAAATTTGCTGGTTGAAGGTATTGGTTCATTTGAGGGAGTGAAGAGGCCGCACTGGTGGGGCGTGAAGAGACAGCACTGGGGGACTTCTTGAAATAGATGTCCAATTTAGACTGCACAGTTTGCTTTTTCTTTTCATTATAAATTTCTCTGTAGCAAGCAAGTGCATCTTGGATCGTTCTGTCAACTTTGGCATAACGCTCATAATTTTGATCCATGCCATCAAACATTTGCATTGCTTTATTAATTGTAGCAAATGCCTCTGCCATATGTTTCACTGAAAACTTTTTGGGGGGTGCAGGTTCTTCTTCTACATTTTGTCTCTCTTATTCCTCTGCAATTTTCTGTGCATCTAGTCCAATAAGATCCTCGTTACTGAGCTCTTCTGCTACACTTTCAAATAACTGTTCAACATCATCATTATCAATTTCTAACTCCAGCTGTTTACCTAACTCCACTATCTTGTTACTAATATCCGAAATAACTTCATTTTCATTAAATCCTTTGAAACTGTTGACATATCTTTTCAGGACCTTCTTCCGTATTCCATTCATGCAATGTTTTGTAACCTGATCCCATGCTGCACTAATGTTCTTTATACAAGACAAAACGTTGTACTCCTTCCAAAACTCTCTGAGCGTTTTCTCACCTTCAGTAGCAGCAACAGCCTGAGCGAAGGTCGTGCGTAAATAATACGCTTTAAAGGCAGCAATAGCACCTTGATCCATGGGTTGGATGACAGAGGTAGTGTTAGGTGGAATGTACACTACCTTAACATCAGGGTGCATGTCGTCCAGGTGTGGTGGGTGTCCTGGTGCATTATCCAAAATCAGCAAAATCTTAAATGGAATCCATTGTTGCAGACAATACATCTTGGTTCGTGGAATGAAAGAAGTCATGAACCAATCCTCAAACAGTACAATGGTCATCCAGGCTTTCTTATTACTGTGATAAAACACTGGCAGTGTGTGCTTGCTGACATGTTTAAAAGTCCTGGGGTTCTCTGAATGATAGATCATGACAGGCTTTAGCTTGAAACCAGCAACATTTCCCCCCAACAGAAGTGTAATTCTGTCCTTGAATGCCTTGAATCCTGGCATTGTTTTCGCCTCTTTGTGAATGTATGTCCGCTCAGGCATGCGCTTCCACAATAATCAAGTCTTATCCACATTGAATATTTGCTCAGGCAAATAATTCCCTTCCACAATCACTTCATCTAACTCCTCCTTAAAAGCTTCGGCAGCACCAACATCAGCACTAGCTGCCTCTCCACTCACCTTAACATTGTGTCGACTGTAGCGTTTTTTAAATCTATCAAACCACCCATGACTTCCTGTAAAGGTTTGATCACATTCATCTCCTGCCTGCTCCTTCAGGCTTTGGAACAGGCTTCTTGCTTTAGCCTGTATGGTTAGAAGGTTTAAGGATACACTCTTCTGTATCTGGTCTTCTATCCTTATCACCTTGTCTTTTCTTCGAAATTATAGTTCCCTTTATAGGTGTTGTTCCTTTCACTACATCACAAATACGTTCCTTGTCCTTCAGAATAGTGGATATGGTCGAGTGTGAGAAACCTAGGTCACGTGAGATTGTTACTACAGTCTTTCCATTCTCATGCTGTGTTATTATCTTCATTTTCATCTCAAAAGTAATTGCCTGTCTCCTTTTCTTTGGAGCACCACCAGCACTCTCACTTTTACGCTTTCCAGTCATTATAAAGTCATTTAAATACGATAATAACGAAAGTTCACAGCGCGATCAGTATAGGATACGATAGCCAAACACCAACTAAGCGCTCCACTGAGTGAGTGTACCCACGCGGCGACCCAAGCCACACCACGCTCTCGCCCGGGACGGAAACGTTTCGGTATAGAAAATGCGCGCGTCATTTTAAAATATTTTTGGTCACGACTGCTGCGGTCGTATGTCCCGAAAGTCGTAAGGTCAGAGCAGGTCGTAAGTACCGATGGACGTACGTAAGTTGAAGCAGTCGTAAGTAGGGGAACACCTGTATACTGTATAGTGATTTAAGGCCAACTCAGGGGAATTTTAGGAGTATTTTTGACTTTATGCATTTTTGGCTTTACTTTGTATGTACTTTTCTGTGAGCTGGAACCAATTACCCAATATCCCATTGAAATAATGGATTCGGTTAACGAATTTTTCGGTTAACGAATGACTCTGTGGAACGAATTGTGTTCGTTAACCGAGGGACCACTGTATATATGGTTGAAGCCAATCTGTTGATATAAGAGCTTGTTCACTGAAGTTAAGTTGAAGAACTGGATGGCCTTGATACCATCTGGTTTTAATATTTGTATTCTCTCAATTATCCACCTCAGTTGTTAAAAAACTATATAAAGTAAATCCAAATTAGTTTTCTACAACTACCGTATATCACGGCCTATAAGACGAAATTTGAACATTAAAAAAATCTGCCCAAAGTTAGGGGGTCGTCTAAACCACCAAGTTTAAAATTCTTACCTCTTAAATATTGTGGTTTAGTGTGTCAAGAGTGGTGATGAAAACATCGTAAGCCACTCACAAGGTCTTACCACTAATTATTTTATACTGAAACTTACGTTTGGCAAGCTGGATTCAAATTAAGATTACCGGTATATTAAAATAATAAAAATGTATTATAAACCTGTCTAACATACCGTAAAAGAGATTTATACCCCTATAATAAACACAGCTATCATCACACACCCCTCCCCACGCCCCCCCCCCCATTTGCCAGTGAGGAGCCGTGGAGGTGGTCAGTAATGCATACCGGTATCGGTATATTTACTCATAATAATATTTATCTCCTATAAATAATTGATTTAAATTTTATTTTTTTCCAAAGAATATTCAGTAAATGAGTGCATTAATTCTTGAAACTATCGACGGTTAATTACAGACGCTCAAGTGACGTCACTAGTGTTTACACTACACCAGCTGGTAATATTTGATGCCATTACTTGAAGTGAATTGGCCTTATTTTAAGTAACTAACTATAAATAAATACAAAAATTAAAAAAAAAGATCAAAACTGAGAAATAATATACTGTATGTATGTTGTGTTGTCAAAGTAAGAGGAACAATTGTGTAAGTACGTAATATTTTTTCACTCAAATCCTAATGAAACACTACTGGAGAACATTCCTTTGTCGCAAAACAGTTTATAAATTAAAGAAAATAATTACAGTGTGTTTAATATATTACAGTATATTATAAATAAATAAATAAAACAAATAATTCGGTAAATCTATTTAAAGTAAATGGAAAATAAGCAAACATGTTATTTACCAAGACCCTTCCGTCTGGCTCAGGGTGAGATGTAGGGGAGATAAAGAAGGCTATTTATAGCCCATCAGAAGTGACCAGTACCCTAATGCACCATAAATAATTCATTGAACATTCATTTTTTGTACATAGTATATTCAGTATATATATATATATATATATATATATATATATATATATATATATATATATATATATATATATATATATATATATATATATATATATATATATATATATATATATATATATATATATATATATATTTGTGTAATAAATGTATGTAGTAAGTACATACTGGTAACCTTTTTCACTCAAATCCTAATGAAACACCACAATTAGAATACGGTGGTTGCTGTTGAACCACATGTTGTATAAATAGTCACACCACCGAGACGAGGGAACACTCCCACCACGCTTCAGTGACGTCACTAGTGTTTACACTACACCAGCGGGTATAATTTGATGACATTACTTGAAGTGAATTGGCCTTATTTTAAAAAATCAAGGATGGTTGGTAAAGGACTACTGAGTCAGTGGGTAAGTGTCACATTTGGGGTACTGGTCTTATACAGCAAATAGAGCTCAAAAGCTACTTTTTAAATGGAAATTTGGGGGGGGCGTCTTATGCACCCCGCCGCCTTATAGGCCGTGATATACGGTAACATTGTCCTGATGAGCTAGGAAAGAGAAGGAAGTTAAGGTCGAGAAACATGACTGAGGAAGACATGTGAAATATATGGCTAAAGTCAAAAGAATATGGTAGTGATGGATTCATAAAGCTTATTCCTTATGTATGGAAATGGCTAAATGAAGAAGCTGGGAGAATATTAACATACAGAACAGCAACAATAAAACTTTAAAACATTCTCAGAGTTCAGATGTATAAAATACAGACAACTCTTATTATTCCATATTATTCTGATAAAACACTTATTACAAGACAAAAAAGACAGCTACACAAAAACATTACTCCACATATTATTTACATTAAGTAGCATGAAGATGAAAAAATACAATTGTACTGAAAAATAAAAATTGCATTATTACCCCTTGTAGTCCTGAGGGCCCGGCTTGAGAGACGAAAGGCTCATCATCAGGAGGATGACTGAAATTGGAAGATGCTGACAGGTTTGGTTGATCTTTCGTCCCTCCACCACTGTCAACCATGAGGTTAGAAACTAAAGCTCCATATTCAAACCCTGTTTCTGACACATCACCATCATTTTCAGGTTCCAATATTTCTTCCTTAACTAATGAATCATCCATCATCTGGAAAGATACATATTATAAATGCAGACAACAGATTTGTAATTGAAGTATTGATCCAGATAAACACAGAGCTGGAAACCTGGGTTCCCAGGATAAAAAACAAACAAAATTGTGACTGAAGGTTTAAAAATTTTAGATAAAATATTAGCTATAGCCTTCCAACTTTACCTGATTTCTTGAAAAGAGAGCTCAGGTTCTCAACTGGCTCAGCCATGTTAATATTGTTATTATTATCCACCCTGTATCTGTGTTTTTCTGGCTAAATAAACTGTTTCAATTCAATTGTTACATTTCACTTGGTATGAGAGTTCACCAGGAAGAAGATTGAGTCTTCACCATTCTGTAAGCATTAGCACTCCTAAATCCAATTTTCTTTGACCTGACCACAAAACAGATCAGCAGGATCAACCAAACCAGTTCCAGCACACTCAACCAACCCAGCAGCAGGAGGAGGATATAAAGCATCAAATCCCAGCTCAATTAGGAAATAGGATTTCAGGATCAATCCCTCACTTCTAACCTAATAGCATTGCACACAACTCAGTCACACAACCTGCATACACAATCAAATTACCAGTAAAGAGATGAAACCTTACAGACTTCCAAATGTCCTTCCCGCCAAACAGTCCAGTTAAGGAGTGTTGTACTGAATATTGTTTCTCATACATTAGGCCCAAATCATTTCATCAGACAACTCCATTAATTACACGACACTTACCACTGTCCCCAAGGAGAAGCTATAAAACTACCTCACTGCACATATAGTCCAAGACTACTAGATAAAAACACTAATAACTTTGGATACATAGAAAAAAGATGAATTTTCAGGAGCTTCAGAAATCATATCCATGTCGCATCTTCTACCCCCATGGTAATTTTCGAATTCAAGATGGCACCATCACAATTTGTGATAAGTGGGGAAAAATACAATTTGTCATAACTAGAGGCCTTAGAACAATAATTTAAGTACATAAGAATGGAAAAAACTGCAGCAGGCCTATTGGCCCATACTGGGCAGTTTCATTTACACCCAACCCCTATTGCTTATATATCCATCCAACCTATGTTTGAAGCTATCCAGCGTATTCGAGTTAATGATGATGTTTGATAACTTGTTCCACTCATCCACTACTCTATTTCCAATCCAATGTTAACCTACCTTGCACCGAAATCTAAATTTGTTGAATTTAAAACCATTGCTACGAGTTCGCTCCTGGTTGGATAGTTTAAGTACCTTTGTTATATCATCTTTGTTTAGCCCTGTCTTCCATTTATACACCTCTATCATATTGCCCCTCACTCTACATCTCTCATGCGAGTGCAGATTAAGATGCTTTAACCTATTTCTGTACTCAAGGTTCTTAATGCCCGGGATAAGTATTGTCATTCTCCTCCGAATTCTTTCCAGGGATTCTATATCCATTCTGTAGTATGGTGACCAAAACTGAACTGCATAATCCAAGTGAGGTCACAAACACCAGACTGACCAAGAGTGGAGTGCAGTGCAGCGAGTGTTACCCACATGGCCAAATATGCCAAATTTTTCCCAGATAATTTTATATATCTTGGCACTTCCCGAATTATACTATAATACATTCCGAGACCATATGGGTGCCAAGTTATATGTAATTCAGAGTTATTGAATACCGAGTTATTGAGGGTTTACTGTATTCCGGCAAATATCTCGTCGGAGATAAATGTCACCACGATTTATTCCCCTGCCTATATCCTTCCTTTGTCCAATAATATTCTTTAAATAATTATTTATCCATTTGGGGTCATTGTTATTTAATTTCAGTTTTCTGTATGCTATGTTCTGCCTTTGTGCATTAAGGAACTTATTATTTAAATTGTTATGGAACTCGTCAACCTCAAATCTCGTGGTCAGGTCACCCTCAGTGGTTACATTATGTGAGGTTATCGTTGTCAGGTCACCAAGTAAAGTGAGGTCACCCTCAGTGAGTACACTGTGTGAGATCACGTTATTTACCACCTCCCATTGAGTGTTTATATCGGTGTACAACAGTGTTTTGAATATGCTGAATATAATGAAGCCATATTAAAAAATAAATACAAAATTCAGTTGAGCTAACTAGCAGAAATCCAAAATGGCCACCAAGGTCAATTGATTCTAAAAGTACCAATTTTTAATAATTTTAGAAATACAATATACAACAAAGAAATATGATTTTGGTAACTGTCTGTAAATTTGTGGGAGAGGGGCAATGAATGGTGGGTGAGATTATATAAATCTATGGGAGAAAAGGAAAAAATATCTTTGCAATGAAAAACTTAAAAATATCATTAACAACAACACTCTTCAGCACAAATACATTTTCAATCCTTCTAACAATACTCAAACAGCAGAAAGAAATACCATATACTGTACAGTGCAGGGGGTCTCTGACTTACCAACGTCCAACTTACAAACGCCCGCTGAAATTTACAGTATTTTATTTACATGACTTATTTTTTACTTTCATTTACAGTCTCTCCTCGACTTACGACATATTCGACTTACGGCAACCTGAACGTGCGATGGCCACGGTCGTATGAAATATTTTTCACATTACGTATTTTAGAGTCCCGACGTTTGGTCATAATGTGATGCCGTACGACAGCTTGGTCTGGGCCGCCTCGTGGTGTACAGCATCCACACCGTAGCCCGCTCAGTTCGTGTTTGGCAGTCGTTGTTGTTAGTGATCGCGCTGTGTACTGACAAAAAATTTTTTTTTTAATTCCCTTTAAATTGGCTGGCAAGCATAAAAGTAAGAGTTCTCGTGGTGCTGAGAAGAAAAGGAGACATTCAATTACTGTACTTTTGAGATGAAAATGAAAATAATAATGCAATATGAAAATTGAAAAACGGTAGCAACCATTTCACGCGACCTGGCCTTCTCTCACTCGAGGATAACAAAAATTTTGAAGGACAAGGAATGAATTCGTGAGGCAGTGAAAGGATCAGCGCCTATAAAGGGAACAATAATAACGAAAAAAAGACAAGGTCTTCTTCATGAGACGGAAAAATTACTTGTGATGTGGATGGAAGATCAACTGCAAAAGCGTGTACCCTTAAGCCTTCTAACCACACAGGCTAAGGCAAGCTGCCTTTTCGAAAGCCTGAAAGAGCAGGCAGGAGATGAGTGTGACCAAAACTTCACAGCAAGTCATGGGTGGTTTCAAAGGTTTAAGAAACGTTACAGTTTGCACAGTGGAAAGGTGAGTGGAGAGGCAGCAAGTGCTGATGTGGGTGCTGCTGAAGCTTTTAAGGAGGAGTTAGATCGTGTCATAGTGGAGGGAAATTATTTGCCTGAGCAAATATTTAATGTGGATGAAACTGGCTTATTTTGGAAGCGCATGCCAGAACGGACATACATCCACAAAGAGGCGAAAACCATGCAGGTATTCAAGGCATTCAAGGACCGAATCACACTTCTGTTGGGGGGGGAATGTAGCTGGTTTCAAGGTAAAACCCTTCATGATATACCATTCAGAGAACCCAAGGGCTTTTAAAAATGACAGCAAGCACACACTGCCAGTGTTTTATGGCAATAATAAGAAAGCATGGATGACCCTAGCACTGTTTGAGGATTGGTTCCTGAGTTGTTTCATTCCACGAGCCAAGGAGTGTTGTCTGCAACAAGGGGTTGCCATCAAGATTTTAATAATTTTAGATAAGCTCCGGGACACCCACCACACCTGAACGACCTGCACCCTGATGTTAAGGTAGTCTACCTTCCACCTAACACTACCTCTATCATCCAACCCATGGATCAAGGTGCTATTGCTGCCTTTAAAGAGTATTATTTACGCACAACCTTCGCTCAGGCTATTGCTGCTACTGAAGGTGAGAAAATGCTCAGAGAGAGTTTTGGAAGGACCACAACATTTTGCAATGTACAAAGAACATAGCTGCAGCATGGGATGAGGTTACAGGTCAGTGCATGAATGGAATATGGAAGAAGGTCCAGTAAAGATATGTGAACAGTTTCAAAGGATTTAATGAAGATGAAGCAATTTCTGAGATTAGTAACAAGATAGTGCAGATGGGTAAACATCTGGAGTTAGAAATTGATAATGAAAATGTTGAGCAGTTGGTGGAAAGTGTAGAAGGAAAGCTAAGTAACGAGGATCTTATTGAACTGGAGGCACAGAAATTTGCAGAGGAAGAAGAAAGACAAAATGTAAAAGAAGAACCTGCACCCCCCAAAAAGTTTTCAGTGAAACAAATGGCAGAGGCATTTGCTACTATAAATAAGGGGATGCAAATGTTTGAAGAAATGGATAAAAATGTTGAGCGTTTTGCAAAAGTTGACAGACTGATCCAAGATGCACCTGCTTGCTACAGGGAGATTTACAATGAAAAGAAAAGGCAAACTATGCAGTCTAAACTAGGCATATTTTTTAAGAAGTCCCCCACTGCTGTCTCCTCACGCCCCACCATCTGGTGCCTCTTTACTCCCTAAAGATGATCCAATACCTTCAACAAGCAAGTATGTTAGCCTGTCTGAAGAAAGCAAACTTGATAGCCCACCCATCCAATTATTTAGTCCCCATGTTTATCTAAAAAATTCTTGAGGCCCCGTGTGCATTCAGCTGACTACATTAGAGGTAAGTGCACAGTAACACTTTATTCATTTTTCATTATTGATTACTTTTACTGTACAGTATTTCATTTTAGATTTTCTGTTTTATTTTCACATTTTCGAATTACAACCAATTCGACTTACGACCCGGTTGTCGATCCCCAATCCCGTCGTAAGTCGGGGACTAACTGTATATATATGTAGAGTTTACATATTTATGAGTTGCAAGTTATTTGTTTGAGGAAAAATTAAATGGCAAATATTGAAAACACTTGACATGTATCCAGAATGCATATGCTCAGAAAAAAGTCCCAAATTTACCCACTAGGCTTCGGGTCAGACGTGCATCTGTAGAACTTTGAGTCACGTCACATGACAATTTTATCTTTCACTGGCCTATTTGAATAAAAAGGGCAGGCCTTGCTAGATTATGCTGCCAAGTAGGTACAGTGACATCTCCGTTAGCCGGAACAATCGGTGCAGAGCACTTCTGGGAATGAGAGATTTCCGAGTAAAGAGACGACTCTCTCAATGCCGGAAAAACTCCTCAATCCCAGAATTTTCTGAGTAACGGAAACATTTTCTCAGAAGTTCCAGAAATTGCCCATTGCATCATCTCTCAAACCCAGAAAAATATTCCCCAACCCCAAAATTTTCCGGAAAATGTGGCCCTTGGAAATTCGTTCCCAAAGCCAGAATTTCCAGAAAATTCTTTGGGAACGAATTTCTGAGAAAATTTCAATTCTGGGTATCGGAGAGTACCGAGTTTGAGGGATTCCAGCTTACTGAGATATTACTTTTATCTTTCACTCACTCACACATGAGAGCCTCCCAGTCTCTTCTCAGTCTCTGCTTAGCTTTTATGATGTAAGCATCTCGCCCTTTGTCTTGACTCACTTCTCCATGTGTTTCTTCCCCCAAGTACAAGTCTAGTACAGTATTGTGCTGGAGCAGTAATAATGACTGTTAATAGTGTAAATGGTAGTAATATAGTCAAACAAGGGCCCTGTACCTCATACTGTCTACAAATTAGTATTGTTTACCTCGGTACTACTGCGTCACACACACACACATCACTTCACGAACATTCTCAACTCTTCCTAGCCCCTGTGTTGCCAACCTGTGGTAAGGACATATATTTATTTCCTGTTTACATCTTACATGGCCAGTTTGTAAGACTAAAATTGCTCTTTATTTTAAATATTCCCGAATATAACCACATGGAAAGAGGGGGGGGGGGGCTGCCAACCATAGCCTGAAGCCTAGGTATTAATAGTGAACATCTGAAAACTTAGGCGATACAACAGTATTCTAGTTAACAACACAGATACCAGCATGATGGAATGAAAGAGGTGAAGGCAACAACACCAAGCCCCATGACTTTAAACAGTAAGGCATAAAAAACATATGGTGGGTGGGTAGTAAAGTACATACCTCAACTTGAGCCTCAGGTGATTCCTTTGTAACTGCAGGACACTCCATTCTGTCTTCAATCCCTTGACTGGCATGTTGCTCTGGCAGTTGGTCTGCTCTAATTCCATCTCCTCTTCTCTCTAATTTTTGGTCTACCCTTTGGTTTCCTTTATTAGTGTGTTTGATAGTGGCTGTTTGTTCCTGTGAGTACTCACTGTCTCTTCTGAATGGGGAAGAATGAGGAGAGGAGACAGCAGAACACAAAGTTTGTCCATCATTCTGAGATGGACTTTTGTTGTCTTCTCGTCTCTGTCTCTTAGGATGTGGACTGCTTCTATCATCAGTTGAACCTCGAGAATGAGCTGATTTTTTGTTGGTGGTGGGAGGTTCGTCAGGCACAGCCAATCCTTTTATTTGCAATAACTCTGCAGCCTTGATCAACTGTGCCAAATCATTCTGAGCTACACTTACAACTCCTGCATACATATAACTAAGAAGTGCCTCTATGTCTCTACACTGCACATCTTTAACCACAATGATTGGGTGTTTACATGGAGTTCTCTCAAACATTTTTAAGAAGTAATCACTACATGTTGACAGTACCAACTTGTGTGCTGGGTAAAATTTTCCTTCACATGCTACAGTCACATCTGTGTATCTCTCCTGGAAGATAAAACAACGAAATCAAATTAAGGGGAAGATTTTCAGATGTGGTGCAAAATTTCTTGATAAACACAAAGGATATGTGGATAGGGAAAACGATGATATGAAACAGACACAAAATATAATGAAGTGTGGGGTTGACATATCAAAAGTAGGAAACCTGAGGTAATAAAGACAATACCTGTACTCTACATGGTGAAAAAAAATTGAATTTTATTTCACTATAATGAATTACAGTATAAGAAATATAGTGGAGGATAGACTGTCAAGAATAAACAATGAATGGTGTACTGCACAAGAGTACTGTAATATTGTCATCAAAATGAAGGAACATACAGTACAGAAATAAGGTAGGGGTAGACTTTGCGTCGGTTATCCTCTCTGTAAAGTAGATGCATAGATTACATACAAAAAACATCAAGAATAATCTTATTAAGAATAATATATTCATTATCAAAGCTGTAAAGGTCAATGAATGGCTTAGAGCAAAAGAAAGTGTGGCAATTATACTCAGTGATGAAAGTAAAGTTGAATACAGTACTGTAATAGAACATAAGTGAGTCAGTCCCAAACCAAACAAAAAAAAAACACAAATCTTACTAACTAAATTCAAACAGAAATAATGAGGTGTGAAAGTTTACAAAATGTTGAGAACAGAGCAAAACAAGGCTTACTTTGGTGCTAGGGACATAGGAGTAAAGGTAGCTATCCCTCAAGCTACAGAAGTTTGAGTTATGGAAATTTACAATAATAGAAGCCCAAAAATAGGGAACCAGTTTTGAGATACACTTATTCCCCTGTATTCAAAGATTGTGTTCTTCAAAATCATGGCAAATCATGAATTCGCAAATACAGTTGAGTCTGGATTTACGCGATTTTTGTTTACACGTTTTGTCATTTACGCGGTGCCTTGCCAGAATTGAAATGCTTTAATTACACGGTAAATTTGGTCATTTACGTGGGGAGCAGCTGGCGGTCCAGCCGCGCCGCGCCATTTTGGATTCAAACCTCCCGCCATCTCCCGGCCTAGAAGGACTTGATTACGCTCTCCTGCAACAACACGGTGTGAAGTGGAGGCTGATCCAGTGTGGCTCCCGTTTTTTGAGTGATGTAGAATCACGATAAGCTGTTTTGGAAATTTAGCTAGTCGCAGCAGTTGGGCAATGCGTAAATGTCGAATGTATCTGCTAGGACTACCTCACTTTACTCTAGTCATCAACCACAAGCCCCTTGTGCCCATCTTCAATGAATACACACTCAATGCTGTGGAGAACCAACACTTGCAGCGTCTAAAGGAAAAACAGCACAGTTTACCTACAAGGCAGTATGGCGTATGAGTGTAGATCATGCTGTCCCTGACGCGCTCTCCCGTGCACCAGTTGACGAGCCCTCACCAGCTGACCTTGTTGCAGAAGATGACGTAGAAGCTCCACACACAAGTTCGCATCGCCCTGTCCGCAGTAGATTACTATACGACACCAGAACTCTACGCAACCTTGGCAGACTGAATATTCAACAAGTGCACTGCTGCGAGCCTTGCCGCTGCGGACGACCCAATGACCACACCAGTACTTACCTCCGAACTTGTAAACCGGGTCAACACCCCTCAGCCGAGCAATACCTCACAAGACATCAGGGACCTGTTGCAAACTTTGAACTGCAGGACGGACACCATTGAACAGTTCTGCTCCTTCATGCCTGCTGCTGGGCCTGTTCCTGACTCACGCACTGCGCCCTACAAACCCTGACGCCTCCTTCCTGCCCCGAAAACCGCCGCCAACCCCCAGCACAACAGATCTACCCTCTGCTGGTATCACAGATGTTTCGGTGCCAATGCTCGACACTGTGAGCCCCACTGCACCTACTCGGGAAACGGAAACAACGGGGATTGGTAGACGCCACAGCCTCTGTTACTTCAGGCGTCTCATTACTGCATATCACCAACTGCATCTCCGGCATGAAATTCCTCGTCGACACAGGTTCATCGGTCAGCATCATCCCTCCCTCACTTCAAGACACATCAAAGCAACCCTCTTACGACTTGTTCGCCACCAACTGTACCCCCATCGCCTCCTACGGCGCACACATCCTCGCCTTAGACCGCGGTCTTCCCAAGACTTTGCGCTGGTCGTTCGTGGTGGCAGATGCCTCTCAACCCATCCTTGGCTTCAACTTCCTCACCTCCAAAGAAGCTCCTCACCAACCAGCTCCGTCAGCAAGCTCCTCACCCAACAGGACCTCTGACCTGCTTTAAGCAGATCGGCTTTCTGGGTGGTCGCATGTTGAGAATACAGAAGAGACGCCACCACACGTAGCACTATTAAGTTACTACAGAGCTTTTTCGTGAATGTTGGGGTTCCTGTTTGCGTCCGTTCTGATGGTGGACCCCAGTTTTCAAGTTCAGAGTTCAGGTCCTTTCTCAAGAGGTCGGGCGTTAATCATGACATCTCATCGCCACATTACCCGCAATCATATGGGCATGCCGAAGCTTGTGTTAAGCAAGTAAAACACCTTATAATGAAAACTACTACCAATGATAACCTAGACGATGAAGACTTCGACCGTGGTCTTTTGGAGATCCGCAACACACCCCGTCCATATGGCAGATCTCCAGCACAGATTCTACTTGGCCGCCCTTTACGGACGGCGATGTCAGCAGCACACATACGTCTGTTTGCTCCCGAGTGGCAGGAAGCAGTGGATGAGTGTGACGGTACATTCTATAGCCTCAGTGATGCCACACCTGATCCCTCCTATTTCTTTTGGTCTGTTCTCACAATGACCTGACCTGAAGCTCGGACAAGTACCACCTCTGCCTCCCTGCTTCCTCGGGGAGGACGATCTTCTGACCTGAAAGATGTTGGCTAACCGACCACACCCTTGAAAATCTTAAAATGATTAGTTACAATGTTTCTCTGTCATCTATGACTGTAAATGACTGAATTTAAATATTAACATACATATCTTGTAGATTTTTTGCATAACTGATTTGTTTTGAATAATGAATAAAATAAATGAATGAATAAATGAGTGAAAGAATAAAATGAATGATGAAAAATAAATTCTATAAGAGAATGAATAAAAGAAAAATTATAAGGATAAATTATTCCTATAGACAACCTTTTTTTAGTCTTTACAGGGAGAGTTTAAGCCCCAAGAAAATCAGATAAAAATTTAGTTGCCTTGCTGCAACTTAAAAGATCATATGTATTCCTATTACCATATAAGATAATGCCGCATTTTATATAAGTAACGGTGTTAAGGTTTCAAGAAACCTTGAAAATCTTTGGCTCCAGCTTCGGCTTCATGACATTTTTAAATGGCTGGCTTTAGCTTTGTGATTTTCCAATGGCTTTAACCCCATGCCTGAAACACATCTTCAAGGTTAAATTAAATGACTTACCATATCGCGCAGAGTGGAGAGCATGTGGCAAAACGTAGAGCGGTGGTTGTTCCATGACAGAGAGAGCATTCCTTCCGCCATTGTGTTTCAACACTCACCTGTCAAAAGAAAGAGTACCGTAAATTGTTCTAGAATCCTAAGAGTTATCAAGTACCCGAACAATTGGAATTTAGCTCAAATTAAAATAACAACTCTATTACAGTAAAGTATTTCTCTTACAGTTACTGAATTCTGACATTAGCCAAAGAAAATCATACCACAAGAAATTATTATACAGTTCCTAGAAAGATGACTCAATCTATTATATAAAGTAGTGCCTGTCTGTTTGTTGTTCACTACAAACACCTACAGTCTTGAAATAAACATGTAACCCAAAAGTACCACATAAGTGGAATTATGGGAGTTGGCCCCAGTGGTCAGATCCCACCCAAGACCTTAGAGCCCCCATTAAGAACACATCTATTTTTATGTTTCTTTACTATTTAAAGTCTAGGTTTATAGCCCTATGGGTGACAGTTGCACCAGTGCTACTTTGGCAACATTACCCATAGGTGTGACGAAGGCAGTAGTGCCACGGCCATAAAAAAATTTCCCTTTCATATTCAATCTATCACTTTCTATTATTTGCTATCAACAAAAACTAATCAATACAATATTACTGAATATACTGTACCTGTATAAAAATCTGACATACAATATAATAAACATACAAGGGGTCCTTATTATTCGTATGGGTTTCGTTCTTAAAACGGGTATACCCCATAAACCAACACACATTAACCACCGCTTCACATAACTGACGATTACATATTGGGGAAATACCCCACAAGTTTCGTTGACTACCCAGTTGATCCGACGATGAGGGAGGAGTGACAGGGCTGTTTGGTATTTGGCAGGTGGTGGCTTGGTGTAAATTCTGGCCATGAGATGGTTCTTCGCGCTGGCTCCCGCCTCTCTACACGTGTTACATTTACCCCGTACCCCGTTGTCTATGACTTCACGTTTCTTCGTTGTTTCCAATTTTGTGTGTCACACCATCATGTCTAAACACCCCAGTGATAAGGCTTCAATTACTGGGAGCTGAAACAGACAGTGGTAGATAGTGGGTGCAAGAATTTTGGAAGGTATATTACATCAAGAGGGGCCTTGATTGACTGATTGTGGTAATTACATACCTGGAGACGCAACAGCTTAGGTTTATATGTCGCCGAATTAAAATAAAACCTTAAAAAAATAAAATCCAATAATGCAAGGGAAAAAAAAGTAACAAATAACAGAAAATTTGTAAAACAAAAACAAAAAACACTTAAACATTACTAGATAAAACTCGAAGCTTGTGTAGAAGGCCGGAGTCCTCCACGAAGGAGAGGTCATCCCCTCCCACACTATCCCCCTAGCATCAAAAAGAGATGGTAAGACCTGCCGCATAAAATATTTTTCACATTACGTATTTTCTTTTGTAATTCCCTTTAAAATGGCCGGCAAGCGTAAAAGTGAGAGTTCTCGTGGTGCTGAGAAGAAAAGAGACACCCATTTTAGATTTTCTATGTACAGTATTATTTTCGCCTTTTCGACTTTCGGCCAATTCGACTTATGACCGGGTCGTCGGGACAGAACCCCGTCGTAAGTCGAGGCGAGACTGTACTCTGTTTGCCTTATTTCAAACATTAACGCACTGTTTTCTAGGTCAAAGGTCCGGGCTTACGAGAACCCCTAGGTCTCTTTTACAAGTTGACTTCTCTAGTTCGATGTTGTGCATTAATATAAAAAGACCCAAAGAACGGTGCACTACTATAAACTGACCAAGAAAAGTGCCTTAGAACTGTCTAAGCTACTGATTCCAAAACTTAAAGTCCTAAAAATCACCACATGACTCAAACAATGATAATACCTTGGTAACTTCTAAATATTAACCGACTCAATATATAAGTAGGTGTTTGCAACTTCGGTATTACAGTATTTTACTTTAGGACATAGCGTTCCCGAAAGTTATAAACTACTGAAACATTTAGATCTCCCTATTCTGAGCATTTTGAACCCCATATATACCAAGCGGAAATGGATAATAGCGACACAATTGAATTTAATTGATTTTAAGTAGTTTTCAGTCTTCGTCTCTGTGAGGTGATGCTATCAGCGCGTCACGCATGCGCAATGTTGACTGACGTTATCAAGTCGTGACCAATGAGGTACTGTATCGATATTATCACGCGAATTTTTTTCAACCGATCACATTTGATTTTTTCAAAGGAAGCAGCCTGGGTATGATTTTATATTTCATTGACCAGTTTCACAATGGCCGTGGTGGAGGTTAGTTGTCGTTTGGGTATTATTGAGTTTTCACACCACACATTCCTACCACTAATCTATTATCATATTCGAATAAGATGTCTAATTATAAGATAATTTTCATCTACAATGGTCCCTCGGTTAACGAGTTACCTTCCATAAGATCCTTAACTTCGGTTAACGAGCAATCCCTCGATTAACGAGTTTCTTACGAGCCGACCTCAACATGTTTTCGCTTGCATTTGGCGGTCCGCCAGCTGTAGTATTAGTCCGCCATTTCACCCATAAATTTTAGTTCTCTTGGTGTAATTCAAGATTATTTTCTTTAAATCAACACTGCACTGCATTATATACAATATTGTCAATATGTAAAATAAATTTCAAAATGACCAATAATTTGCTTGCAAACACAGAAAAAAGCGTTTAGTTGAAGAGAGTCTCAAGCAAGACGTTACCTCCAGTGAAAACAGAGAGAGACTAACTCCTGTTTGCTGTGTTAAGAGGCTGGATGCCGCGCATTAAACTAGTCACTTTACCTTCAATTATGTTCAATAATTGTTAAAATGACTAAAAAATTGAATATTAAACTTTTAAAATTATTGAATAGTATAAACTTCTTGATATTTACTAAAATAGTAAGGAATTTAAGCCCTAGAACCGATTAATGTATTGGCGGACTGATACTAAAGCTGGTTGCCCGGTCAGTGCAAGCGAAAACATGTTGAGGTCGGTTCGTAAGAACTTCGTTAACCGAATTTTTTTTCGTTAACCGAATTGAAGATCCTTATGGAAGGCAGTTCGTTTATCGAAATTACGTTAACCGAGGTGTTCGTTAAACGAGGGGTCACTGTAGTTTTATGCGCGCCATTCAGCCTGGCAACACACCATACAGGCGTCAGTCTGTCTGTCTTTTCAGTGGAGGTAACATCTTGCTTGAGACTCTCTTCAACTAAATGCTTTTTTCTGTGTTTGCAAGCAAATTATTGGTCATTTTGAAATTTATTTTACATATTGACAATATATAATGCAGTGCAGTGTTGATTTAAAGAAAATAATCTTGAATTACACCAAGAGAACTAAAATTTATGGGTGAAATGGCGCCTTGGGGTGACTTCTCTTCCACCCCAATGCCTTCTCTTCTCCCTTCTCCTCCACCCCCATTCTAATTCCCATCATCATCATCATCATCATCCAGGAGCCTTCTACATACACACCTCAAAGTAAGTGTACTTTTCTACCTTTTTTGTTGAATTTAGGCAATTTTCGGTGAGCTGGAACCAATTACCCAAAAACCCATTGAAACAATAGTTTCGGTTAACGAGCAATCTTCTAGAACGGATTGTGCTCGTTAATCGAGGGACCACTGTATTACATTACCGTCACAAATGTATAATAATGGAGATAGCATATCCAAAATTTTCTCTATTTTCTTCCATTATTCTTCCGCCATTATAACCTACTTCACCTCCCACACTGCGTGTTTCCTTCATATATCATCACGCGCGTGCGTTCCCGTACGCGTCACGCGGGCAATCAAAAGAGTATTTTTTTTTGGAAACCAATTAAAATGATTTTTGGTTTAATTCGTGGTATTTTTTACCCAATCAAAATCGATTTTTATTTTGGGTCTCTCATATTTCCAAATTCATATTCATTTCCGACCATGGAAGTCTGTGATGGGTGTCACTTATATTATATGGAGCTGATTGCAAGTTTTGGGGGGAAAAAACGAAGAAACTAGCATTTTTTCGATCGCATGGTGTTCTCCCGACCTCAGTAAAGTGTCATAAGTGCAAGACTGAATGTAAATAACGCAAAAACCAACATATGTGGCGTTGTCCTAACTCATCCTTCATCCCAAAGACAAAGAAGAGATGGCAATAAGGTAAGAAATAGGTGATTCCATCATATGGTGAGAGTCAGTTAGGTTAGGTTAGGTTAGGTTAGGTTAGGTTAGGCTAGGCTAGGCTAGGTTAGGCTAGGTTAGGTTAGGTTAGGTTAGGCTTTTGTTTTTCTAGTGTTTTTTGGGTGTATTTTTTATTCGCTTAGCCATTATTTTTTTTCGGAAAACGTCCCACGAAAAAAAATTTTTAAAAAAGAAACCGTCCAATTTCCGACGGAAATGAAGGTCATATTCGGTCTAAACACACACAAATACACTAGAAAAATTTATTTTTTTACTTTCTAACAGAGTGTGGTGCGCTTATGCAAATTTACCGTCGTTTGTGCTCCTACGATTATTTTAAGTTTATTGCCGAGTTTTATGAGAAAGACGATCATTCTATCCAATTCTTATGTAGCCTTGGTCCTTCCACTTCTAACTAAGGTATTGTACTTTCGGACATGGTGCGCCCCAAAGTTTTTAACTACCGAAACATTTAGGTTAGTTTAAGCTATGCCTGCTGGGGGTCCAGGGGCGGAGACCACTGCTAGGGGTCAGGTTAGGCCTACCGGGGGTCTGAGGGCGGAGCAGGAGTTAGGTTAGTTAGGTTAGGTCAGATGACTCGCTTTCATTTTCTCCCCCACCCAAAAACCCTTATTTCCCAGGCTCTCCCCCATTATTGTAGGGGGGGGGGGGGAGACTGGCAATTTCCGCCAAAAATAAAGGTCAGATTCGCTTAAAACACACCAAAATACACATAAAAAACATACTGGTCAACCCCTAGGGACTCATGCCCTATAGTAAAAATTTACCGAAACTTCTAAATATAAACCAAATGCTTTATTATATTACGAAGAAATTTCCCAAAGTTGATGATAAGGGCGATATTACCGAATTAAACAGGGCAGGGAAGTCAGGCACAGAAAATATGATAATCAAAGACCTATTCAATGTTTGTAATTCCACCAATTGTGTAACAGTATCTTATGTAGAGCTGGAGCCGTAGTGAGTATAATAACATCAACCATAATCATACAACTGTGAAATAATTGTGTACTTAGTGTGCGTAGGTAGCGTTACTCAGTAAACCCTACACAACATTGTTTCTCCTCCATTAACTGTTCATTTACTCAGTCTCGTGCTCAAGCAATACGTTCAAATTATACTAATACTGACAGTACAGTTAATGCCACAAAATAACTCACGGTTTTCAACACCAGACAAATAAAGGTAAGACGTTAGGTTGATCAGCGTTACCACAACAATTATACTTTATAAGCAATCCTGAGTACAAACTTCATATTACTCACAGATGATCTGGAAGAGGCCCACGCCTGTGACTCCAGCTCAATAGCCTCTTCTCTACTCAGACTGTAGCTGTGTGGCGGATAATTGTGCCCTAAAATTATATACTTGTTGTTGATTTTTCCAGTATTTATCTAATTTTGCTTCAAACTTTTCCACCGTCTCCACATTCACTACCTACTCAGGTAAACTATTCCAGTTGTTGACAACCCTACTCGTGAACGAGTGTCTTCTGAGATTTAGCCTCGCTCTTGTTTTGTAGATCTTCTTTGAGTTCCCCCGGGTAGTGTCATCCTCCCTCATCTGGAACATTCCTGCTGTACATGCCTGGTCATATATGCCACACACTATCTTGTATGTTTCCACTTGGTCCCCACGAGATCTTCTGTACGCCAGTGTCGGTAACTGTAATTTCCTTAGTCTTTCCTCATAAGATAAATCCTTGATCTGTGGTACTAATTTGGTAGCCCTCCTCTGTACATTCTCTACTGCTTCAATATCCTTAATGAGATATGGGCACCAAATTTGATTAGCATACTCAAGGTGTGGCCTAACCAGAGCAGTGTACAGAGCCTTGAATATAGGTGCATCCAGATGAACAAAAGTTCTTCTAATAATGCCCACTATTTTATTAGCCTTGTTGATTTTCTCAGCTAGATGTCAGAAAACGTCAGCTTATCATCGATGACTACCCCTATATCCTTCTCTACAGGGGTTTTCTTGATCGTGGTGTACATATGATATCCCTGGTCAGCAACTTTTGTTCTTCCTATCCTCATGTATTTACTTTTTTGGGGTGAAAGTTCAGCATCCACTTCTCAGTCCAACCCCTGATCCCATCCAGGTCCTCCTGCAGCATGTCACAATCCTCATCTCGTTCTATTTTCCTAAAAATCTGTGTCATCCGCATATAGATATACCTCACTGTCGTGTTTAATTGCCTCAGGCAGGTCATTGATAAAAAGGACAAACAGCAGGGGGCCGAGGACAGAACCCTGAGGGACCCCACTAGTGACCTCTCTCCAGTCAGATACTTCTCCATTTACCACAACTCTCTGTTTTCTCTTAGTTAAAAAATTCCTTACCCAATCAAGATATTTTCCATCAATGCGATAACTAGATACTTTTTCTAATAGTCTTTTGTGGGGTACTCTATCAAAAGCCTTCATGAAGTCACAATACACTGTCCACAGCCTGACTGTCATCGATAATTTCCGTCCACCTGTCTAGTACCCTAATCACTTTTTACTTTTATCCTCTTCGCCACTGATCGGCTTGTTAGCCGCTTGGGCGATCGGTCACGACTCTTTTCCTTTATATTCTTCACCAAAAGGTCGGCTCGCTAGCCGCCCGGGCGATCGGTCACGTCTCTGTCACGCACTGTTGGCAAATACTGGGCATGCACCGGCTCCTGAATGTACCTGAACCCGCTCCAGTGTTGGTCAAGTCTTCTCTTGAAAGAGCTCACACTCGGTGCCGTCACAACACTTTCTGCAGGACTGTTGACCTGCCGGAAATGAAGCCAAACTGTTTATCACTAAACAATCCATATTTTTTCATATGGGATATCATCTCTTCCCGTAATATTGACTCCATTAATTTGCAGATTATACTAGTTAGACTGACTGGCCTGTAGTTCCTGGTTCACTTTTACTTCCCTTCTTATAGATAGCTGTGATATATGCAATACGCCAGTCCTCGGGTATATTTCCTTCTTGAAAAGAGCTTTCAAACAAGATCCTCAGAGGCTGAAGTAGTTCCTCCATCATCTCCTTAATGACTCTTGGATGTAACCCATCTGGGCCGGGAGACTTATGTCTTTTCAATTTTTGAATCACCTTTCTTATTTTGCCCTCGGTTATCTCCAGGTGTTCAACAGCTGGCACGTCTTTCTTGTTGGCTGTTGGTATCCCCCTATCTGGTTCCTTAATAAAAACTCGTGAAAATTGCTCTGAGAGTACATCTGCCTTTTCTTGATCATTCACAGTCTTCTGTACTTTTTCCTCATCCTTGTAAAGATCTGTAATTCTAGCTTTTGTTCTTGTTTTTGTCTGTACATGCTTTCAGAACACTTTTGGATTTGCCTTAACATTTTTCGCAATCTCTTGTTCTTTGCGTTTCAAGATGTTTCTAGTTTCCCGTCTGACCTGGTTATTTAATCTCCTGTATTCCTTTTCAGTTTCCAGATACATCTCCCTTGTGCATGCTCTTTCATTGAACTTCGTTTTCATTATTTTCAATCTCTCCCACAGTCTCTGTTTTTTCTTCACTTTAGCCCAGAGCTTCCTGTTCATAGGTAATTTTTCATTTGTTCTTTTGCTGCTAACCCTCAGTCCTCTGATTATCTTCTTAGGGACACACTCGTCAATGACTGCCTGGAATTTTCCTTTGAACTTATTCCACTTACCTTCAATATCTGGTTCCAATGACAAGTATTGGATCCAGTCCATCGTAAGCCTTTGCTTCATCAGTAGGTAATCTGCTTTTTCATACATGTCCACTTGTTTTTTACTTCTGTCTTCCATTTCCTGTATGTCACAATGGAAATAAATACAGGCATGGTCACTCTTTCCCAGTGGACTCTCCAGCTTGATATCTCCTACTATAGATTCTTCGTTACTGAACAACAGGTCAAGGGTATTGCCTGTGCTGTCTCCTCTTATCCTAGTGATTTCCTCTATATGTTGAGTGAGAAAGCAGTCCCGTACTTTCTCGATGAACATGGTGTAGTGGATTTCTCCCCTACAAACGCTGTTTGTCGCTGCATAGCCGACCCCGCGAATTCCACAGTGTGTGCCTCGTGGTCTAGGTCAACCAGCGCCGCCCACGGAGCGGGGGTCAACTACTAAGCCACGCCAACCCCCGCTATTTAAGACCTGACCTCGTGGTGATCTCTCTCTTTCTACTTACACCAACCAGCCAGCAACACCACCTCCTCCTCCGCCTACCTGGCGGTCCTCGCTCCCGCCGGAGAGCATGGCGACCCACGAGCTGGTCCTCCTCTGAGCACCCTCACCAACCAGCTCTCTCTACATCACGCTTGTAACCATGCTGCCTTCCCAGCACCAAGCTGCACTGTACATCCAATACAACATGTATACATGAGAGCACATTGTGAGTTTCCTTTCTCCATCCCATCCTGAGTGTGAACCAAACATCATGAACCCCACAGTACCAACATCATTCAGTCCCATTACAGAAGTATAATTACTCCAATTTATTTGTGGAAGATTAAAATCACCTACAATTATTTTATAAAGCACATTTTTATCATTGACTTCCTGCATAAGTTGGAGCAAATTAATATTATTGCTTTCATCACTATTAGGGCTTCTGTAAATGGAGGTAAATAGTAAATTACCACTACTACATCGCACTTCTATACAGCAATATTCACAAAACTTAGTATCAAGTTCAACACTGTAAAATTTGGTTCCTTTCCTAATATATATTAACACACCTCTCCCTTCCTTATTAAGGAGATTTTGCTCTATAATGTCATAACCTTCTAGGTTATATTCAGCTGTAATCTGTTCATATCTGTAGTGTTTTGGCTTTACCTCCTGTAAGGCTATTACTTGCCGAGTATTTTCCATCTCCTTCAACTGTGCATTTAGCTCTATTAACTTGTCTGGACTCAACACATCCACATTACTAAACATTATAAGAAATTTACCTACATTAACATTATGTTCTTGTTTTTTCCTATTTTTAATCAGTTTCCTTACACTATTTACGCTACTGGTATGTACATGTTTCTCCTCTTTGAGCCTCACTACTTCTCTTGGACCCATATTTTGACGACTCTTCGCCTCCACGGAGGACCCACCACTCTGTGTCTCCCCTTCCCGGAGTCCATTAAGTATTTTGCCTCCTGCCATAAAACAGCTTCATTTTCTCTCTCCCTTTTAGTTAAGTCATTGGCTATTCTTATGTCTTGGAATTTCATATTACCTTGCAGGTTCCTGATGTTTCTAAATAGGTTGGCCTTTATATCTGCATTAGATAACTTGACTAGCATAGGTCTAGCTTTTCCCTGGATAAATTTACCCAGCCTAATCATACTTGTATATATAAAGACAGTCTGACAGATGATATAGATACCAAACAGACAGACTGACTGACTGACATACAGGTATTGAAAGACTGATAGAAAGATATAGAAACACAGAGGATAAAGATAGACAGTCAGTCA